TCTGGACTTTGTGATGTCACTTCCCTCCCCCAGAAGACACGATGCCCCAGAGCCTGCATCTCTGTCCACACAGGTTCCTCATGAGGGTGCTGGACTCGTACGGGGATGACTACCGGGCTAGCCAGTTCACCATCGTGTTGGAGGTGAGCTCTGGTCTCCAGGCAGGTTCGGGGAGTGGGGAGTCCAATTAAGTCTTTAACTGCCTCCAATGTGCATCTTCCCAGGATGATGGCAGCCAAGGCACAGATGTCCCCACCCCAGGCAATGCTGAGAACGAGCCTCCAGAGAAAGAGGGGCTTTCCCCACCCCAAAGGACGCCTGCACCCCTAGACCCCAGCAGCCCAGCCCCTGGCGAGGGGCCCAGTGGGCGGAAGAGGCGGAGGGCACCTCGGGTGGGGGCTTCATTGACCCCAGAACTGGCCCCAGTACAGGTGGGAGCCGAGGGCTGGGGCCAAGGCGTGGTGAGAATCTTGGGCTGGGTTTTGAGGGGTCTGGGGCTGGGGGAGGGCTGGGCAGAGTGGCAGCGGGATTAAAGTCAGGTAGGCCAGGGAAGAGGAGTTGGAAAATTTAGAGTTTAAAGAAGAAAATGACTAGATGTGTGAACAGTGGGGACAGAGGACGTCAGTTGAGGGATACTTGTCAGGCAGGGCTGCTGGACAGTGACTGGCCCGGGAAACCGGTGCCCACAGGCTGATTGGGTGCATGTGTTGGGGGCGGGGTATGTCTTCTAGGTCTCCATATCCACTCACATTTTGTTGCTTATCTTTCCAGATTAAGGTTGAGGAAGACTTTGGCTTTGAAGCAGATGAGGCCTTGGATTCAAGTTGGGTTTCTCGAGGGCCGGACAAACTGCTGCCCTACCCTACCCTAGCTAGCTCACCCTTTGACTAATCCTCTCTCCCCAATAAACAGACTCCCCATGTACACTTGTTTAGGCCACTGTCCACTGCTCCCATCCCTGAAACACTCAGGTTCTGGGATTGGAGGCCCAGGCAGAAGATTGCCATAAGTGTGAGGCCACCCTGGCTACACACTTGAGTTCCAGGTCGGCCTAGCCTACATAAATAGTGAGATTTCCCTCTCTCAAAACAACAACAAAAGAAACTCACCAAGGAAAAGACTGTGTGGTTGGTTTTCACATTTTTATTGGGGGGCACAGGGAAGGGGGCCTCTTCCATCAGCAGGAGGATTCACAGGTTCTTCAGCCATTCCAGACTTGGGCCCTGAGGGTCCTGGGGGTGGCTGGGCACATCCGGCATGTTCCCATTATCTCGTACAGGCACTGTGAAATAAAAGGGTGAGCCACTGAGATCAGCAGATCTCTAGGGTCCTGTAGAGAGGAGGTAGTCTGTCTCTATATATTCAGAGACAGTATTGGATGCCAGGTGAGAAGGAGGAGAGTGAGGGCCAGAGATTCAGCAGCAGCAGAGACAGCCAAATAAGGGAGATATCTCTAACAGGGACAGAGGAACACAGAGACCAGAAATCTGGAGAGAGAAACTCAAAACATGTTAAAAGTACAAAGAACATCCAAAACGCAGCAGGGACTCTCCTACACAGCTGTGCCTGCCCCTCCCCCAGCGCAGGTCTCTGCTCACCTGGGTAGACGTAGGGTGTGGCCCTGTTGATCATGCCAGAATACTTGGTATAGGGGCTGATTATGGGCATAATTATAGCTGTGGAGAAAGGCATAAATGTGAGATCCAAGGATGAAGTGGCTCTCGAGGGGCGGGGAAAGGGTAGAAACCGAGCCCTGGCAAAGGGGAGCAGGAAGAGCCAGCACAACCAGGAGGGCCCTTCGGTGGGTCCCTCAGCACTCCACCGTCCCCACTTATCAGAGGTCAGTTTGAAGTGGGGAGTAGCAGAGAGGTCAGAGCCCAGGACTCAAGAACACGTGAGGCCAAAGGCTGGTCACAAGTTGACAGCTTTTGGATTAGCCCATGTGGGCTATAGCTAAGAGTCTTCGGGAGTGGAGGTGGGTATATAACAGGATTTTTTTTTTTTTTTTTTTTTGAGAGGGTTTCTCTGTGTAGTTTTTGGCGCCTGTCCTGGGTCTCGCTCTGTAGACCAGGCTGGCCTCAAACTCACAGAGATCTGCTTGGCTCTGCCTCCCACTGCCACCTGGCAACAGGAATGTTAATAGACCAGTGTTGCTGACACAAACTCATATAGCTTCTGTGGGCATTCCCACACATGTGGCATACAGAAACACACATATACATAAATCTGTTTTTAAAATGTGGAGGAGAGATGGCTCCTCAGTTAAGAGCACTTGCTGATCTTCCAGAGGACTTGAGTTCAATAACCAGCAGCCATGTTCATTAGCTTACAACTGCCTATACCTCCTGCTCCAAAGGATCCTATGCCCTCTTCTGACCTCCACAGGCAGGCACACACACACACACACACACACACACTTAAAAAAGATTGGCTTGTGTCACACACACACACTTAAAAAAGATTGGCTTGTGTCTGTAATAAAACTTGAGAAGCCAAAGCAGACTGCTGTGAATTTGAGGCCAGCTTGGGCTAAATAAATTTTTGTGTGTTCCCCTATATTTAAACACAAACAAACAAACTGAAAAGGTAAAAATAAAATCAGTTCTAGAAAGTATTTAATCTTGGAGCTGTGAGAGAGCTCAGCAAGTCAAAGTACCTGCTGCCAAGGCTGACAACCTGAGTTCAATGCCTGAGACTCCCAGAGCGGAAGGAGAGAACTGACTCCAGCAAGTTGTCCTCTGACCTCCACAACCAACTGGTGATAATCACACACACAAATGTAATTTTACATTTAAAGAACGAATCAGTATGCCTCAAATAATTATCTTAACGTTTTCTACATTAAAACCACATACTTTAGGGTATTCTAGGTCTTTGAAGTTAGGGTAGCGGCGGGGGGGGGGGGGGGGGGGAGGGGGGAGGGTCCTAGAACTTCATTATCACACTCCGGCTCGGCGATACTGACAATAACTATGGGACTGTGATAACTACCAAACCACAGGCCTCTCCCCAGACCGTCGTCATCAGAATTTGCTTAACAGGTCACCCCCATCCCCCAGGGCTCCAGTGCATCCGAACTGTGGACAGCCCTGTCCCAAGGCAGGTTCTTCACCAGAGAGGCTTGCTGGGAGATCTGCCTAAGACAGGCTTTTCTGCACTTCGAAGTCAAAGTACAAGTGAGGCTGTCCTGCGTAGGTGTGTGTAGGGTGCTGAGGAACGGAGGCTACGGTAATGTCGGAACGGAAGGGCAAGGGGGCTGCAAGATGAACTGTGGAACGCTGATGTCCTCAGGGTGGAGGACGCACACTTGCTCCTGGAGCACTCACCGAGACCCCAGATGGAGAAGGACACCACCAGCACCGGCTGGTTCGCCCAGGCATTTTTAAGGAAGGCGGAGATTCCTGGAGAGGCGGGAGAAGAGTCACCCTTGGGGGCTGCTGCGGTGACCTCTAACCCTCCCTCACCTACCACTTCTACCCTGCAAGAGCACCCTCGTGACCGCCGCGTCCCTCTTCTGGGACGGACCCCACCGCGCCCCCAGAGCTCTGCTGAGCCTCAGTCACCCGCCAGCCCACGGCTCCCTGGGAACTACCTGAGCCCCGCGCACCTCCCGAGCCAGTACTTACTCGCGGCCATCTTGGTCTCGGAGGCGACCAGGGCGCGGAGCTCTCTGGGAGTTGTGGTCCCTTCCTTTGCGCGAGGCTCCGCCCCTTGGGCTGCGCCTTTCCGAGTCGAAGTAGCGGAGTGGGAAGGCGAGGGCGTGGAGCCTTATGGGAGTTGTAGTTCCCGAGTGAGGCTTAGCCGACGTTTTAAACTAGAGCAGAGAACCTTGGCGGCAAAGATTTAAACCACAAGGACTTTGCACACCTGCTGGTCTCAACTTTTTCTTTTAGCTTAAAAAAAGTGCGTCAAAGGAGTAACTTGGAGTTCTCCGGCAAGAAAGTCCGCTTTACAATGAGGTCACATCTAGACAGCCCCTCCCTCTGGAAGTTCTAAATCGATACCAAATAAATTAAGGACTTTTTGTTTTGTTTTGTTTTGTTTGTTTTTCGAGACAGGGTGTCTCTGTGTGTAGCTCTGGCTATCCTGGAACACACTCTGTAGACCAGGCTGGTTTTGAACTCACAGATATCCACCTGCCTCTGCCTTCCGAGTGCTGGGATTAAAGGTGTGCACCACCACCGCCCGGCAGATTAAGGACTTTCTGTGCTTTACGTTACTAGTGTGCATGCAGCTCACCGCATTTTTTCCCCCCGCCCCTCAGTCTTGCTGGAGATTGAAACCAGAACAGGCTAGACTACCCATCTACCACTGAACCACGCCCCCAGGCTGTAGCTGGTGGATTTTAGGCAAGTCCTTTACTGTTGACTGCCACATTTTCGCGCCCTATCTCTAGTTTTTATTTTGAGACAGGGTTTCATTAAATGGCTCAGGTTGGTGCCTCAAGCTTTGAACATGGGGTCCTCTTGCCTTGGTTGTCCAAAGTAGGTGGGATTACAAGCCCGAGCCTTCAAGACCGTGCACATCACTTAAAAAAAAAAGTTATCGGCTTGAGCCAGCGAGACCCGGGACTGTGAGGCACTGATGGAGTCTGAGCCTTCTCTTTTTCACCAGCATAGTGTATATTGTGCACCAAGGATCTTTTCCCCTTTCCTCCTTTTCGTTTTGTTTTGTTTTGTTTTTCCCCCTCCTCCTTTTTTTCCTCTCTCCTCTCACCACTGGGACTAGAACACACTGGGCAAGCAGTCTCCCCCTTCGCTACAACATCCCCAACCCTCCTCCCCCACTTTTAAATGGAATTAATGAATACCGGAGGCTCTGACTGTCCCTCTTGCAACTTTTTCCAAGACAATGCGGCAATGACACGGTTACCCAGGGGCCCCCACCTGACTCCTCTCTTCCCTAAACAGGGCTCTCACATGGCTTTCTGGTGCTGCTTCATTTCCTCAGAGGACAGAAGGCAGGGTCCGCCTTTTCCTCAGCTCCACGGAGTGCCCGCCATGATCCTGTCGCTGATACTCCAGCTGTTGACCTTCTGTGAGCCGTCCCTCCCCTGTGTGTGGGTGGGTGCTTGGCTGGGCTGAGAGCCTTATCTGATTATCTGGAATCAACATCCAGTTTAGAAAAAAAGAGTCAGGACTGGTACCCAGACACTCGAGTCCTAAATGGGGGAAGACAGACTGCTGGGTCTGGGGTGAGCATAGATTTCTCTGGATCTCCAGGCAGGAGGAAAGTAAGTGATATCTAGGGTCAAGGAATATATTCAGTTCTCATGACAGATGGGCAGGACTCCTGCACTGGAAAGAGGAGCACATCCAGACTTCCAAACCCCAAGAGGGAGAACAAAGGCCCGCTCTCTTGGGTCAGACCACTGGCTTCTTAAGTACCTGGAGAATGGAAGTCTAGAGTTTTGCTGGATCCTAAAGAAGACAGGGATAGGATTTTTATTTCCCAGAGGAAAAAGAAACTATGTAGTCAGACTCTAGGGCTCTCAGTGAGGGAAGACTGGTAGTCAGAAGCTTTGGAAAGAACTGGCTCCTAACCTTCTGCAGGGCCTGTGTGTCACGCGGACTTCGCACCGACAGGTGAGTGGCATTCCCCCAATGCTCTCCTTCATGCTGCTCACACCCCATCTCCACCAAACCACTTTATTTTGACGCCAAGCCTCACCCCAGATTTCCTTATTCGCCTCTCTTCCTCTTCCTTCTCCCTCTTTCCATCCCTTCGTTTCCCCTAACTCCCTTGTTCTCTTTCTTTCTTCTTTTTCTCTTGTCTCCTCTCCCCTCCCCCCTCCCCCCTCTCCTCCCTCCTCCATTCCTTTCCTCCTTGGCCCCTTCCCTTCCCTCTCTTCTCCCTTCTCTTCCCTTCATCCCTTTAGTGACCTTTAGAGGTGAGTATAGAAGACCATGAATGTGGATACTAAGGAGACCTAAACTAGACCATCTTCTTCGTTGCATGGCCTTGAAAAAACCAGGGTCTTGAAGACTCCATCTCCTTCTCTGGAAAATGGCTGCAGTAAGGATTTAATATGATTATGTAGGTCAACTGTAGGCTCAGATCCTGGCATAGTCCAGACAGGATTTCCTGCAATGCCCATTATACCAGCTTCTCTCACTGGAAACTGCTTTCCACAAAAGGAGGATTCCCCTACCCTAGGATGGTTTCACCTTGGGTTTTCTGATGGAGACGGTGTTTCCTTTCTCCCAGCCTTTCTCCCATTGTACTCCAGTTTTGAATGAGAACCATCTGGGAAGCCATTCATAGCTGAGTTATCAGTTAACTATTTCATTTTATGTGTATGAGCATTTTGCCTGTATGCATGTATGTGCACCACATCCATGTCTGGAGCTGGCAGAGCTCAGAAGAAAGCTGAGGATCCTGTGGAACTGGAGTTACAGGTGGTTATGAGCCACCATGTGGTGCTGAGAATCAAACCCCAGTCTTTTGCAAAAGCAGCAAGTACTCTTAACTGCTGAGCCATCTGTCTAGTCCCCTGATTTTAAATTTGTTTTTTTTTTAATTTATTTATTTTTATTTTATGTACGTTGGTGTTTTGCCATGGATATTGGGTCCTCTGGAACTGGAATTACAGACAGTTGTGAGCTGCCATGTGGGTACTGGAAATTGAACTCAGGTCCTCTGGAAGATCAGTCAGTGCTCTTAACCACTGAGCCATCTCTTCAGCCCCTTAAATTTGTTTTTTTATTATTATTATTTTCTTTCTTTCTTTCTTTTTTTTTTTTTTGAGACAGGATTTCTTTGTGTATCCCTGGCTGTCCCGGAACTCACTATGTAGACCAGGCTGGCCTTGAACTTACAGAGAGCTGCCTGCCTCTGCCTCCTAAATGCTGGGACTAAAGGCATGTGCCACCACCACCTGGCTATTATTTTAAATGATACAGCTAATGGGTACTCATTGTTATAAAGACTCAGTCATTACCAAAAGATATAACAATCTTCCTCTTCCCCTTCCTGTGTTCCTGAAACAAGCTTCAGATCCTACAAAAAGCTTTCCATGCATTCATACACATCACGCATTTACACACTTCCCCCTTTTCTTGACAGATCAAAATTGGTATTTCATGACCCATTCTGCTCTGGATCTTAAATGTTAGACTTAACAATTTGTCTTGGAGATATTTCCCAATCATTACAGTTATTTTTACATTTTAAATTTATTTACAAATAAGAGTTTGCTTATGTATTCTGAGGCAGTGGAATTACTGGGTCATTGACCATGTTATGTTTTTGTTGTTTGGATATGTATTAGGGATGCTTTGAAACTATGGTCTTGTTCATCGTGGGCTAGTACTCTCTCACCAAGCAACACTCCCAGTCCCTCACCGAGGCATTCTAGAGAGATGTTCTACCACTGAGCCACACCCCCTAGCCCTCACTGAGGAATAGTTACATGTACCCCACTGTTCTATCACCTACTTAAGAAAGATTTATTTTTGTTTTTCTAATTATGTGTATGTGTTTGTGTCTGTATGGGAGTATACGTACCTGAGTGCAGGTGCCTGCAGAGGCCAGAGATGTCAAGATCCCCCTGGAACTAGAGTTACAAGTAGTCATAAGTTGCTCAGTGTGGGTGCTAGAAGCCAAACCTAGGTCCTCTGCAAGAGCAGCAAGCACTCTTAACTGTTGAGTCATCTCTTCAGTTCACTAGTCTATGACCTGTTAAAGACCCACCTTTCAACATCATTATATCAAAGATTAAGCTGGGGGACATGTTCAGACCGTAGCAGTAATTATTGACATGTGGCAAACCTTAACTGCTTGTAGTGAGGTGTGGTGGTACACAGCTGTCAGCCTAGCAATTGGAAGCGGAGGCAGAAGGATTACAAGTTTGAAGCCAGCCTGCACCACTGTGAGGTCTAGAACAAACTGAGCTGCACAGTGAGGCTTTGTCTCAAAACAAACAAATGAACAACAACAAAAAAAAACAGTAATAATAAGACCAAACAAAACAAAGTAACCATTTCTGAAATTATATTTTGAAACTATGCCTTAAAATTTCGGAGAAGGGCTTGGGGATTTAGCTTGCCCACCAGGCCCCAGTACTACATAGATGGGGAGGGGAGGTGGTGGTCCTGATGGTGGCTCATGCTTATAATCCAGAAGGGTCAGAAGTTCAAGGTCATTCTTCTCTACATAGAAAGTTCAAGGTCTGCCAGGGTTACACAAGAACTTGTCTCAAAAAAAAAAAAAATGGAGGAGGTTTGAGGCTATATCTTAGTGGTGAGTGAGTGATTACCCACAATGCATAAGGCCCTGGGTTCACTTCTGGGCACAAACAAATAACTGCAGGGAAAAGCTGTAGTCAGACTTTCCTCTGGGCCACCAGCTCACAAATAACGGCACAGAGACTTATTATTAATTATAAAAGCTTGGCCATTAGCTTAGGCTTGTCCCGCTTGCTCTTATGACTTAAATTAATCCATTTTTAAAAAATTAATCTATGTTCTTCGATGTGGCTTTTATCTCTCTCCCATTCTCTGTGTCCCACTCTTCCATGTCTCAATGGTGTCCCACTTTTCTTCTTCCCAGAGTCCTCTCCGTCCCCAGAAGTCCCCCCTAACCTCTTTCCGCCTAGCCATTGGCCGTGCAGCTCCTTATTAAACCAATCAGAAGGTGCCTTGGCAAAGACACGTCTTCACAGTGTAAACAAATATTCCACAACAGAAAACTCAGTTAGAGGTGGGCATGGTGGTGAAGACCTTAGATCCCAGCACTCAGAAGGCAGAGGCAGGAGGATCTCTGTGAATTCTAGGCCAGCCTGGGCTACAGAGTGAGTTCCAGGACAGCTAGGGCTGCTACACAGAGAAACCCTTCCTCCAAAACAAAACAAGCTCAAAGTTTTACTCCTGTGATTTTTCAGCTAGTTTGGGCCAGTTGTAATTGTACTCCAGGCCCTCCCCTCCTTTATAGAGATCTAAGATCAGGAGAGATCGGTGCCTGTCCAACTTCTTCTACGTCTCCTGGGGCTGCTGGGAGGGACGGAGGGTCCTGAGGACCCAAGCACTTCTCTTTATTAAGCTCCGCCAGCCTCAAACCCCAAGCCCTGGCTGGGGGCTCACCCTGCCACAGTTGTGACTCCGGGAGTCAACGTGACCTTGCGGTGCCGTGCCCCCCAACCTGCCTGGCGGTTTGCACTCTTCAGAACTGGGGATGTTACCCCCCTGTTCTTCCGGGATGTGGCCGCGGAGCTGGCTGAGTTCTTCCTGGAGGAAGTGGCTCTGGCCCAGGGAGGCAGTTATTACTGCCGCTATCGCAGGACAGACTGGGGACCCGGTGTCTGGTCCCAGTCCAGCAATGTCTTGGAACTGCTGGTGACAGGTGAGATCCGGGAGAAATTGGAGAAGGGCGCAGGAGTGAGGTTAAGGTGGAGGGTGGGTGTGGCGGGGAAGAGGGACACAAGGAGAGAGACGGCAGGGAGGTAGAATAAGAGATGCTTGAACATAGGGGAAGAGGAGGGAGGAGGAAGGGGAGGGCGAAGAGAGACAGACAAGCCAGCCTACTTACAACCTTGCCTGTGTTCTACAGATCAGCTGCCCAGACCAACGCTGGTTGCATTGCCTGGGCCTGTGGTAGCTCCAGGAGCCAACATAAGCCTGCGCTGTGCAGGCCGCGTGCCGGGCATGAGTTTTGCGCTGTACCGCGTGGGTGTGGCAACCCCTCTGCAGTACATCGACTCTGTGTATCCCTGGGCTGACTTCCCTCTGACGGGCGCCCATGCTCCGGGCACCTACAGCTGTTATTACCACACACCATCTGCGCCCTATGTGCTGTCACAGCGCAGCCCGCCGCTGGTCATCAGCTCCGAAGGTGAGGTGCTCTGGGCCTTCTTCAGACCCAAGGGTCCAGGGACATCAACCCCATCCAATTTAGAGACGTGGGAGTTGAAGTCTACAACTCCACCTGTGTCTCAGATATGCAGAAGAGCATCAAGACTCTGGGGTACGGCACCAACACCGTGTCTCCCTCTCTTTGGCCCATAGGTTCCGGCTCCTCGGACTATACTCAGGGAAACCTCATTCGTTTGGGAGTGGCGGGGCTGGTCCTCATCTGCTTGGGCATCTTAGTTACTTTTGACTGGCATAGCAGGAACTCCACTTTTGGTGGCCTCCTGCCTCAGCAAAACTGGGTGTAGGCATGTGGGATGAGAAGATCCTGTCTGGAGATGGGCAGAGAAGCCGGGATCATTGGTGATTAGCCCCTGCAGAAGGCTCCAGGCGTCCAGACTCCACTGGATTAACCACCCTCACCCTTTTGCATGGTAGCTTCCTGCTGGGTCCTCTCCTAGACTTCCCAGGGGAGTGGACAGCACTACCATATTTCCTTTGATTGTAAAATGGTTTAATACCACATTATTAGGGTTGTTGAAGGATTAAAAGCAGTGGCTGGCCTGTGGTAAATGATGTTCAGTTAATGTTAGTGACTTTATCCTCTCTTGAAAACCCCTTCCCCCCTCATATCACCTCCCTCCCATCCCCCTCTACCCTCTCCCCTTCTTTTCCTTTCTTTCCGGCTTTGCTGTGAGCATAGGTTCATTCTACCACACTTAGAAAACAATTATATATAT